CAGGGCAGCTGATGGGACTGCTGCTGGCCACCTACCCTGGGGAGATGGAGGACACCCCTTTGATCCAGATACAGCCCCAAGGAAGGGGAGGAAGTGGCCCAGGGGCAGCCGACTCCAGTCTGGCTGTAGTGCTGCCTGAAACAGTCAGTGTATTGCAGCTGGATTCCCCACTGACCCAGTGGTGGACCACTCTGCCACTGTTAGGGCCCTGGGCTGGGACCCAGTGGAGTCTGGTGGGCCTGGGTCCCCCTAGTCCCTGCCACCCCACCCTTAGGGTGGCAGCCTCCCCACTGTAGGCCAGGTGGCTGGTGTTCGCCTACCATCTGCCAGAACTAGAATGACCGGCTACTTGCTAGCTCTACCCTGCTTGAGAGCTGGAGCCCATAGACTGGTGTTTGCTCTGCCCCTGCCTAAGGGCCCGGAGCCTATAGACTATTTGGGGTTCAGCCCCACTAGACCAGTCAGGATGCTAACGCCTGGTCTGCTAATTTCCTCCAAAATTAGGCAGCGATCATGACAATGTAGTGAGGTGGTGTGGCCTCCCTCTGACCCAGAAGGGGAGAGATGACTGCAACCCCACTACATGCCCCACAAATATATTACAGACACTTTAATGCATATTTTTGCAATTGTCCTAAAGTAACATGTTTCCAGGCTTCTTAAGTGAAATGTATCAGAAAAATAATGGTAATATTTCTATAGCTCTTTTCACCCAAACCCTCAATGCACCTTACAACCACAATGACAATTCACAAAGCTTCACAACGTTTCTGTGGGGAAGGTAGGTATCATTACTCCCCCTTTGTGGCTAGGGAAACTGAAGCACAGGAGGTTTAGGGTGGCCAGATCACCCAGGTCAAATATTGGGGGCGTGGTGGGGGGGCGGTTCAAAAAAAAAAAAGGTGGCAGAGGAGAAAAAAAACAAAACAAAACCCTGCTCCACAAGCGCTGGAGGGAGGCCCCGGAGACGTAGGGGGAGCGCGGAGCCGTGAGCAGGCAGGACTCAGTCAGGCAGTAGGGAGAGTAGGGGGGTGGCCCGCAGGGCCAGGTGGCAGCTGTTCTCCCCCCTGGGCAGCGGGACTGGGGAGCAGCCACTGCTGCAGCTTCCACTGCCGCAGGGGGAGGAAGCGGCTGATGGCCAAGCTCGGTGGCTGCAGCTGTGGCTCTGGCGCCCGGGCCCAAACCCCCCCGAGCCTGGGCCTGCTGTGGCAACCCAGCGCGCACGCTGCATGTGCCCAGCCCCTGGCTAGTCGCGTCTGGGCTGCTGCCCAGCTGTTGCAATCCCGCGGCAACCCCGGAGTGGGGGCAGCAGGCCCCAGCCCCCCCATCCTGCTCGGGTCCCACAGGGGAACAAACGGGGCTGGGCTGCCGATGCCTCCGCCCCGGGCTGCCGCGGGATTGCACCAGCTGGGCAGCCAGCCCAGACGCGACTGGCCAGGGGCTGGGCACAGCGTGCGCGCTGCTGGATCCCCGCAACAGGCCCGGGCTCGGGGAGTTCGGGCCCGGGCGCCAGAGGGAGGAAACTTGGCCATTGGCCGCTTCCTCCCTCCACGGCAGTGGAAGCTGCAGCAGCGGCTGCTCCCAAGTCCCGCTGCCCAGGGGAGGAGAACAGCTGCCGCCTGGCCCCATGGGCCGCCCCCCCCACTCTCCCTACCGCCCGACTGAGTCCTGCCTGCTCGGGGCCAGGCCGGACTCTCACTCACAGCACCGCGCTCCCACTGCATCTCCAGGGCCTCCCTCCAGCACTTGTGGAGGGAGGAGGAATGGTGAGCCTGGGGAAGAGGCGGGGATTTGGGGAGGGAGCCAATGGGGGAAGAAGGGGGCAGAGTCGGGACAGGTGGGGGGGGGGGTGAGCACTTCCGGGCTCCGGAGCATTTGCTTGTTTGTCCAGTGTCCCAACCTAACATCGGTCGGGACGCGGGACAAACAAGCAAATATTAGGACAGTCCCGATAAAATTGGGAAGTCTGGTCACCCTAAGGAGGTTATATATCCTACACAAAGTCACACAGCAAACCAGCAACCAAGCAAGACTCCCAGCCCCAAGTTTTAATCACGGAAACTGCTCCCTCAAATAGTGCAATTGATTCCTCTTCAGAATCTTTTGAGTGCTAACTTGCCACTTTTAACACATCAGCAAAATGTAATACTGTTAGCTTGTGCCAGAACAATGTCCTGCTAAATGCTAGCTGGATCCTAACCCTCCAGTAACTAAAAACTAGTTGAAAGAGTTTGCAACTTGCAAAAAAACTGGAAGATTAATTTTACAAAGTGGTCTGCCTATTGATCTAAACTTGCTATATCTGAAAAGCACTTAAACATAGACTCAAAATCCACCTTATGCTGATCTTCCAGAACACATTATTGACCTCTGTTTCCATGTCTACTCAGTGATGTATCTTGTTTCCTCAAATATGATTCTACCAAAACTCAGTAGGTTATCATCTTTGTGCCTGATTTGCCCTTTGCCTCTGTTTGGTGCCCGTGAACACTGTTTGTATACTGTGTTAATGTATTCTGAGTTAGGCCTGGTGTACGCTAGAGGGGGGGATCGATCTAAGTTACGCAACTTCAGCTATGTGAATAACTTAGCTGAAGTCGACGTACTTAGATCTACTTACCGCAGTGTCTTCACAGTAAGTTGACGCTCTCCCGTCGACTCCGGTACTCCACCAGGGCGAGGTGGAGTCGACGGGAGAGCGCTCAGCAGTCAATTTATTGCATCTAGACTAGATGTGATAAATTGACCCCTGCTGGATCGATCGCTGCCCGTCGATCCAGCAGGTAATGTAGACAAGCCCTCAGGGTGAATGTATTGATGTATTCATTGGTGTACTGACATTTTTGGGTACAATTTCCTCAGCGTATTTATGTGAATTTTAGTGCTCATGAGCAGTGCCTTGCTAACAGCACCGGAGACTCAATTTCTCTGTTTATCCCTAGAACAGATACAGCATTGGCAACATTAGCATAAACTTGTTCACACTTCCCTGCTAGTGTGCTTGGACAATGATGAGAAGGGACCATCTCTAGGGTGGAGAGGATAGTTCAGCCCCCATTTCCCCCCTTATTCCTTGCCTGCCCTTTACTGTTTTCCTTTTAATGATTAAAGACCCAATCCAGCTCCCGCCAAAGTCCACGGGAGTCTTTCCATTGATGTTAGAAGGAGTTGATCAGGCCCTTTATTGTTGTGAAACTTCTGTATCATTCTGTTTTATCATACAGTTATAATTTAAAATATCCTCCATATGCGTTGTGTTCTCTTAGGAGTATATCCAAGTAAAAACTGGATGAAATAGAAAATGGAACATTAGCAACTTCAAACATCTTGGCACAATGGGAAAATATTGGGTTCTGTTCCCAGCTCTCCACCGACTTGATGTGCAACAAAGATCCTAGCCAGCTCACCACTGTGCCTCAGTTTCCTCATCTGTAAAATTTTGATATTTGAGATCATTAAACAAAAAGTGCTATATAAGAGCTAAATGTATTAATAGGTAGGGCTAATTAACCAATTGTCTTTACATTTTTCTTAACACAAAGAATAAAATCATTTTTAACTTATACCCTTTAAGAATAATTGAATTTCCACCAAATTTAGGTGATCCTTGATCCTGTAGCGTATAGCATGAAGTCCATATCTGCCCATATGGTACAAGTCATATGATAAGGGTCTTTGCTGTAAACATAAGATTTCAGCTCTGATCCCATATTCAGTGTTTATTTTCAAAATGTGTGTCCTAACTGCTGCAGCAATTTAGATATGTTAACACTGTGCACGTATGGTCTATATTTTTCAAAGGTGACTAGTGATTTTGGGTGCCCAATTTGGGATACCTTTAAGGAGCCTCATTTGCAGAAAGCATGAAGCATTTGTTCCCAGAAAATCAGGCCCCTTTAAAGTGTATCGAGTTGGGCACTCAAAATCAGTAGCCCTATTTGAAAATTTAGGGTGTGCTTAAATTATGCTTTAAAATTATGTATTTATACTGTACACATGCAGCATATTTCAGTATAGCATTTTAGTCTGTGTCATGAAGTAGTAACTGCAAATGTATTCCACTTAGCTTGGACAGAATACTGTCATCTGGATTGAAAACTGGCTAAAAGATTTTAAATAAAGAGTAAAATTAAATAGCAATATATCAAATTGTGGGCAAGTGTCTAAACAGCTACCCTGAGATCTGGTCTTAGTACTCTGGTGCACAGGAGGAGTTTACAGCATGCACTTTTTTTTTAAGAAGGTGCTGACTGCTTCCTGGATGTGCCAGGCCCACTCTGTGTTTCAGTGTGAAAAGGGGCAGGTCCATTTTTTTCCCCCTTGTGGGGACTCACAAGGGGAGGAAGGCTTCTTTGCATTCCCTCCTGACACCCACCCACAGGCAGGCCAGTTGCAATCTGTGCCCAAGATTGTTCTTGTGATACAGAATTATAACTTCACTTGGGACTTTTTAATATTAAGCACTAGAAACTGTATTGTCAGGAACCGTCCTGTACGTACTAGGTGATCTAACAAGTGTTTTCTATATCTGACTTTGATAATTCTTATACTCAGAATGCCATTCCCATTTTTATTTGTCTGGCTTCCATTGCCACCACATCCAAATCACTCATTTCAAAACAAAACAAAACAAAACACTTATGCAGCATTGCCTATGAAAAATGAGTTCGTTTCCACTCAAAAAAGCCTTGAATCAACATGATGTATGTATGCATGTAAAACTGAGTCCATACAGTCATGTAACTAATTCATGCCCCTCTTTGCCCCTCCCTTTCCTGATATGTGTTACATCTTCACTTGTCTGTCAAGCTCATCATTTATTTTTTAAGCAATTCAGGACAGGCATCTGTCTTTTTTTCCCCCCCCCCCCTTTTGTGTTTCTGTGCAACATCTAGTACATTTCTGAGTGCTGTTCAACAGTGATTCTGTGCTGTACAACATGAGGCCACACCATACATCATTGCCCTGACTTTACAACAATATTGTTTTTTTTCCCTCAGTTCCACTTGCAATTCCTAGAACATCAACAAGCCTTCCAAAAATTTTACAGGAGAGGATCTCCTTTATTCATCAGTACAATGCCAGAAAATCTCCTAATGAACCCATCCGAGGAAAGGTAAGACAATGTGCATCCTGTATGATTAATAGCGTGCAGGAAGCTGGCGGAGTAAGTTTATTCACAAACTTCCGACTAACTGTTTTAAAAGTAAGAAATATTGTCTCACGCTTTAGAATTGCCAGGATTTATTAAAAAGTGTCATTAATATTATAACTTAAACATGTCATTCTGTGTTTATGTGCATCATAACACTGTGGTTTCTGGCACCTATAATAATAGATAAATGCCCTAATGATATATGACTCAGTTTGGATTTCCAATAGGTCTGTGTCCGCTCTCACTTACATCTGAGGTCAGTGGAGTAAAAATGATGTGCGACCGGAACCAGGCCCAATGTGTATTTTGAAGCCATTCCATAAGTAAATGTCCAAAAGTTTTGTCAGTCTTTGTTGCCTACAAGTTTTTGTGTGTGTGTTTCTTACAAATCAATAATTAACTGTGTAAGGGCCTGATCCAAAAGCAATTGAAATTAGTGGAAAGACTTCCATTGTCCAGTAGGCTTTGAATCAGGCCCAAAATGCAGAAGTCCATTGTTGGAAACATTTTGAAGAGTACAGCCTATTGTTTGTTCCCTCTTCTGTTTATAAAAAAAGAGAACCTTTCTGTGCGACCTTAATGGACAAAGTCATTTGGGTTCCAATCATAAATCTCCTGGCCTACAAAAGCAGCAGTTTAGAATTGTATCCATAGCAACCCATGTAGCAAGAAATGAAATCTGAGCTGATTAGACTTGCACAGGAGAGCTATATGCAAGTCACACACTCAGAGTGACAGAATGGTTGTGAACCAGAGAAAATAAGATGCATTTTTTCTTTTATTTGTTGTTTCTCTCCAAGTTTTCCTGCTATGCCCCATTTCATGAATAAAAAAGGCTAACAGGCCAGTCACTATTCCATTGCCTGCAGCTATTGGGAGGGGACCTAGGCTGATGGCCAGTAGAGAGACCAAGAAATAAGTGGATGTTTTGCCAGCACTTGAGCTAATAAATGAACTCAGATCACAGCTGTTTTTACTAACTGCTTATGCTCCCCTGGTTAACGTCAACCTTGTTTCCCTTTCCAGCGACATGGAGCTTTTGTGTGGACAGAGATAAAACCAGTGAGTGGGCCAATAGTTCCTCAGGGAACAGAAGTATTCCTGAGTGCTAGAGGGTCAGGCTCACTGGAACAGCCAAAAACAGAGAAAGGAAACTCAGTGGAAAGCCAAATGACCTCACCCAGTCTCTGCCTGCAGAATTCCCAGGAGACATTAGGCTGTGAAACTCACTTATCAAAACCAGACGTCAGAGAAGCAGCCAAGGCATACCCCAGAATCCCTGTGAGAGCACAGAAGAGTTCAGACATTTCTCAGGCAACTGAAGTGGATGTTATCCGTCCTGCTGGGGAAGAGTCTTTATGTCCAGCAATGAAAGGTCCTCTAGATAAATCTCTGGATAGGTTACCTCCCGCACATAAAAACATACGAATCCCTGATATCACCATCAGTAACTAAAATGAAGAGAGCCTACAATCACTGTGCAAGCTAATGCATTTGCTTGGTCTAATATCAATAATACTAAACACAAGCTAACAATTCACTGGTGTCAGCGGGAACACAGTACTCCTTTGACAAAACAACAGCTGCACTGTACTTTGATGTTTGTAGAAAACTATATGCCTATAAGAATTATGGGTGGTTGTTTTTTTAAGGTGGAATTGATTTCCTTGTTAGGAGGAACGCAATCATCTTGATCATATATATTCTGTATTAAGTTTGACTTTGAGTTAATTAACACTTTTGGGTCTGGAAGTGATTATGATTCTTGAAAATGTACTTTCAATAAAAGAAACACTAGTTACAATGTTTGGTTTTATTGCTGATTGCTGTTATTTTAACATATATAGTTGTGACATGCATTATCTCCTTGGATGCTGCAGTGTGGGGTATGATTTCACACACCATATGGTGTCAGCTTGTGATAAATGGAAACCATTGTGCTTCCATAGGAAACAATGGCAGTCAAGAGAGAGAATTTGCTGTAGCCCACAGGAATGCAAAAATAATGTGTATTGCCACTCTAAACAGTTAACAAGGACAATTTTGGAGTAAACCCTTTCTTTCTTTTTGGGAGCAAGGAGGACAGGCATTTTCTTACAGACTTGTGCTTCTGTTCTTGTTTGAGTGTGTTACACATCAAAAATGCAGAAGAGATCTGAATTACTGTACGCTTTTCCCCAATACTAGAGAAAATCCATTAATCCAGAGACTGATAGGTAAACTTTTACTGATTGGACTATTTCCCTATTTTTTTTCATGCTGCGACTTCTTATGATTCCCAACAAGAATTCTCCCAGTTACACTCTTAGGGAAACACAGAAAGTTTAGGCTTGAGTTATAACCTACAGTTATTCATCAAACAGTGAAGCAAGTTATTACCTGTAGTTCTTAAACAGCTCCTCTTGTATACTGGAGAGGTTAATGTATGCATTTTACTTCAGTGACAGCAGTAAAAGTTTAATGTCCAGCTTTCTGCTCTGAGAAGATATTATAACAATGTTATATGTCCTGTATGTTCTTTTCACAAAGAATAATAGCAAAAACCTGGGGAAATATTCTTTGGAACTTATTTTGAAACAATATTTACCAAGGATTGGGCAGGTCCCATATATTATAGCTAAAAGTTAAAATGAACTATATAGTGCTGATTACTTGTTTTTGCTTGAGCTGACACTTTAGGGACCAAATTTGGCCTTCAGATATGCATACACAACTTCCACTGGTGTTAGTGGCAGCTGTTTACCATATCAGAGGCAGAGTCTGGCTCTTTAATGTACATGCTAGTTGTAGTAGTGACATGTAATTCAGAACCTACCATCATTACTATATTAATAACATATTGACATTTGTGGACATAGATATTTATCTACTGGTCACAACTGTATCATAATATAATTATATTATAATTTTGTTTGTCCTACTTCTATTAATTACATCTTTTGATTGCTTATATGATGAACTGTCTATTTGTAGTGAAGTGACAAACAAAATGTGGGTATAGGAAATTAGTTAGAAATGAACAAATGGGGTAAAACTGAAACATTTTCTAAAAATGCTAATACAGAAGGGTCAGCTGCTGGACTGCAGTACAACCACTTTGGGCTTCACTGCCAGTGGTTTTTAGCTATAAAGGAAGCATGCCCAGCACCAGAAGGATCACCCCAGTATAAGACATATGTTCAAGTAGAGTGCAGCCATCATAGAAACTCCTTAAATCATTTCCCTTCTTGTTACTGACCTAGAGAATGGGGCTAGAGGAAAAAAAGCATGGCCAGAATACCCCTACCCTGCATTACCTTTGGCTGCTATTTCAACCTCTTCAAGCCACTAGTAGGCAAAGCAGATTAGAACCAGCAAGTAGCTGGTTAAACAATCAGAGCTACTTTCTGAAGTGCTTTGAGATCTATGGACAAAAAGCATTATGTAAGTTAGGTATTTATTTATTATTCTGGGGAAAAAAGACTTTGCATACCTGACACAGAAAGCTCTAACCAATGCTCAAGCTTCTTCTGGACAGCAGACAGTTTTTCACATGAAGCAACAGAAGTCTGGCATCATTAAATTAGATATTTTTGTAAAACAAAGGAATTTTCAAAACAAAAACTTTGTTACTTTACAGCTAAATTTACTAAGGGCCATTTGAGAGGTGCTGTTAAGAAACAAAACACAAACATTAAAAACAATGGGAAAACATACAACGATTAAATAAATTCTGGCACTAGCCTAACCTCCAAATCACACATGCATATGTGAGCATGCAGATACACCATTAAACAGAAAACTCTTAGTGACCAGTTACCCAAACCAGCTTATTTTTGCCACTTCACAAGCCCCTGTACTTAAAAGCTTGAATACCTTATTCATAAAAAATTGTATCCAAAACATCAACGATATTTTACAACCAAAGTCCAGCTGCATCTATTTCTATCAATCAAAGTTTCTGTAACCTCCATCATTTGCAGTCTGAATAAATTAATTCCATGTGCCCTTAATTAGATAAATAATCATTAGAGGCAAAGATATTCTTACATCATATGATAAAACAGTTCACACACTACAGTGGAGCTAGAAATACATAATTTTGTATCTATATAGTTCACTAACACCTGAGTACCTGTATTTTATATTCTTTCTGATGAATTCTTCTATCTGAGAGCTATCTTTTGAATATATTAAACTTGTTCTAAGCCTCTCTTGTGGATTTGTTGTAGCCATTTTGCTCCTTTGACCATGTACATTCTGCTGTGCAATTTGGGACTTCTACCATCTGCGCACATTTCATCACCTGTGTATTGAACACTTGTTGCTTCAACAAAATTCTTTCACATTAATGATACTTTTTATTTGCCTCAAGCATTAGTGAAAGCATTTTACTAGCTATTATACATATGGAAAAGCATATTGTTTTGTTTAACTGGAAATTGTCTTTAAATTTATTTTATAAATACTTTGAAAATATCTCTTCTTTCCAGCAAAGTTACCCATTGCCATTCATATGATAGATTAATAGATAAACATGCCAAAAGGAAAATGTAATTATCCTGCTAAGCCATCTTAACAAACCAGCTCATGATTAAAGTAAGCTCCCAGGTCTTCTGTAAGGGGAGAGAGTAAATTATGTCCATATAGAGATGTAAATCTCATTGAAAACCTGTTTCTTTTAACTGACTACAAGAAATGTCAAAAGTCTGACCAAGCCTGGTTTGTTCCTTGGTGGAAAGATGGTATCTCAATGTATAGCAATTGGCAGGTGCCCTCAAACACCAATTTAAAAGAGCAATAACTGCGTCCATGGCATCAGGACAATAGGTTGGTCTGAAAAAGATGGGACCCATCTATTTGCTAAATTACCCACTGCAATAGACCAGAGCTGTGATATGGGACAATTTTACTTAATGCACTTAGCTTGTTCCAATTTTAGCCAATGGCAAAACTTCCGTTGACTTCAAAAGGTACCACATTGGGCTATAGGAAGCTAAATCTTAACTATCAACACTAGTATAAAATGTAGAAAGGGGCTGGGGTGCGTTCCTCACACTAGCCCTGTAAGAGCTGGGTTGGCAGGGTAGGCCCATTCAGCTAATTAGGCTGCAAACAGGAGAGTTTTAGGCCAGAGGCAGCTGGTTGGAACAAGGCTTACTTGCGCAGGAACAGGTGGGACCTAGAAAGCCAGGTAGTGGACCTACAGATTAGGTGGCTGAGAAAGGTAACAGGAAGGCAGACAACAGTCACTCTGGGAGGAGGGAGAAAAGTTTTGGAGCTGGTACACCCAGAGAGAAAAGGGGAACCAATGTGGTAGGAAGCAGTGCAGGGAAGGAGCTGGGGGTGTGGGGGGAGAGGGGGCAGAGAGGCAGCCCAGTACTGCTGCGCTGAGGGTCCCTGAACTGGAACCCATAGAAGAGGATTGGTCCGGGTTCCCCTACCAGCTACCAAGCGTGTGGCATAGAACTGAAACAGCGAATGGGAAGACTGCCTAGGACTACTGATGGACTGTACCACGGAAGGGGGCACGCTGAGTGACCTAGCCGGAGGGCTAAGTCACAAAGGAGACATTGCAGGTCCTGGAGTGAGAGGAGGTGTAGACCAAAGTCAAAGTAATGGCATCCTAACCACAGATGGGGGTGTCTACCTTTGAAGCTAATCCCCAAAGTGACTAGGAGGAGGCACCGGCCAACGGTGAGTGGAGCACCCTGTGACAACTTGGTGGAGAATGTGGGCATTCAGTTGTCCCTGAAGGAAGGTACTGTGTGAGAGCCTGTGAAGGACTGCATAATGTGATCAGCCCTGATACAAGGGGATTGAAGACAGAGTTGCCCACAGTACAGATTTTCTTTATTGAGGGAAAATGTCCCCTACTAGGCTGGATGCCGGAGTTGCTGCTCCCACAGAGTAAAGCAGATGAGCAGAGGGATGGGTCCATGCTATGTGGGGACAGATATCAGAGAACCAGCAGAGACTATGGGAAGCCCAAGTATATTTGCAAGACTGTATGGTGTGGGTAGCTGGTCAATAGCAGTCGCTGTACAGAATCCTGCAGGAAAGAAGCAGGAGGAGACGTAAGGACCAGGAATGGGAAAGGCACTCAGGACTAGGAGGCCAGAGGTCCAACCCCGAAGGTGCTATGGCTTAAGGAGTGGGGGGGGGGGCGGGGGACCTGAAGAGGGAGTGCCCTTATTTAGAGGGAAGAAAAGAAGCTTACCAGAAAGCAAGCACTGAGACAAGGGCCCAGAGAGTCCCATTCAATACGCAATTGGGTCAGAGGAGGAACTGCTTTTGGTGTGGGGAAAAGGGCCATATAAAGAGGCATTGCCTTCATGGGGAAAAGAAAGAGAGCCAGGAAAAGCACAAGGGTCCAAGCCAAGAGAAAAGAAGAGCCAGGGGCCCAAAAGGAGCCCAGAAGAATGGTGGAGAAGCCCAAAAGGGAGATAAAGATGTGAGGTGAAACTGGGAGGAGGATTTTATAGGTCTTTATCGTATCTCTCCTTAGTCATCTCTTTTCCAAGCGAATAGTCCCAGTCTTTTTAATCTCTCCTTATATGGAAGCTGTTCCATAACCCTAATCATTTTTGTTGTCCCTCTCTGTACTTTTTCCAGTTCTAATGCATCCTTTTTAAGATGATGCAACCAGAACTGCACAGAATTTCCAAGGTGTTTAGATTTATATTGTGGCATTATGATACTTTCTGGCTTATTATCTATCCCTCTCCTAATGGTCCCTAACTTTTTTGACTGCCACTGCACATTGAGCAGATGTTTTCAGAGAACTATACATGATGTCTCCAAGATCTTTCTTGAGTGGTAACA